CTGGAGGTTCCTGCTGGCTAAAGACCAGGACAGCAAGTTCAGAGGTCAGTAACACACACGCACACACACACATCTTAAACCCCTGTAGCTGCTGTAATAGTAGTAATACAAAGTTAGTGGTAGTGGCAGTACAGCATTATAGCTGTGTCTCTTGGAAAACCAACAAATATTCCCAGACATAAACACTTGTAAAACTTGTAATTTTTGAAGTGGCTTTAATACAATAACTTTGTCGCTTTGCCCAGAAACGTAGAGATTTAAATTTCTTGTGATACGCTGAAAAATACCGGAAAAATAAGTAAGAATTTAGGAAAATGTAATGTTTGTAGTTTCATAAAACTCAGAACAGTCAAAGTCAACTTTATTGTCAATCTTTCAGTTTGTGAGTAAAAATATAAATACAAATATGAATATACACACAATCAACAGACACATGTATACATATGCACACATTAAGACATGAATAAAAGCACAACAATCAATATATACAAAAATAACAGTCGGAGAAATGTACATTAGTGCACTGTCCCCTCTGTGTGTCAGAGAGCTTCCAGTCTCAGGAGGGGGATGTCATTCTGCCGCCATGCCCCCCCATCCCAACGCAGGCCAAAAACAGAGTCTTCGCCATCGTGATGTTCGCCGAGTTCCTCAAAGAAATGTCCGCCATCGCCCAGGAGCAAAGCATCGCTCCGTCTGCTGCTGAGGAGAGGAGTGAAGCGCAATAAAGTGCATTGTGCTGTGTGAAGGTACTGCTGAAGAAAAAGGCTTTTTAAAGGCCGGAAAAAAGCACAAAACGGGCAACAAAAATGATTAAATGTGAGTAAAATATGTGGACCTTACAGAAGTGATGTGTATTTGTTTTGTATTTGCACCATTTGAATCAGAACCAGAAAACGTAATTTATCCCGAGGGAAATTGTGTTTTGTATTTATAAAGACACTTAAAGTAAGAATTCAAGGTAAAAATAAACTGAATATTTGTATAAGCATAGGGCGTTAAAATACAGATTCCAATAAAATATATAAATAAAATGTTATTTTAAAATGTTTTGGGGGAAATCTTACTTTAATTCTTATATTTGTTTAAAATACTAATTATATATTACATTTTATTTTATTGCACATTCTTACTCTAACTTTTTTTGTATTTATAAATATTTGTATTCAATTATTTAACTCTGAAATATTTAAAACTACAGTGTGACACAATACATGTCAGAGTGATATATGAGGACTGTTAAATATTTGTTATTTATATTCTGAGCGGCACTTGACGGTATTTATATGTGGATAAAAATATTTAAAGAGATACTTTTGAAGATCATTTTCTATATTTGTGTGGGTTCTTTATTTCTTGTGCAAATATCAAATGTTAAAGGTCTCCTATCATACTGTTCTTTACCAGTATGTCACAGCTCTCAGATATATCCAGAGCCTGTCTCTGATTGGCTGAAACACCAAACAGATCATTGCAGCATTACCCATAATCCCCTCTGTTTCAGCCCTGTTTCCAAAGTGCTGATTCTCTGGGTGTTTCTCAATCTCGAGGATGCTGGCTTGGTAGTCGCGTACTTCCAAGTCACTTCCTTCAGAAACAAAGCAAGTATGCTTCCAAGCCACGGCTACGGACAACGAAGAAGAATGGAACAGGCTAACAAGTGTGCCACTCTCTCTAACGGTTTCAACATAAACTGTACCGAAAATAAATCCCTCACGATGTCTATCTAATTATGAACTTGCTTTACTTTCAGGAACACATTTTTGGTGATAACAAATGTAACAAATTAACATATTTACCAACACATGTTCTACGCCACTACACACTTACATTTCAATGTGTGCTGCGTCGGTTCAGCCATTCTCCGCAAGGGTTTTTGAAATTGGTCCGTGCGCAAAGCATTGTGGGGATTTTAAGGACGCAAAGTCTACCCATGTGCAGCCTCGAAATTACCCCCAAACCAAGGACGCGGCCTCGGTGGAATTCCAAGTATGCTGGAGATTGGAACAGTCCTTCGGCGGCACTCAATGACGTAGCATCCTTGAAATATTAAGCCAATATCCTCGAGATTGAGAAACGGCCTGTGTCTGTTACTTTAGATGAAAATAAGGAGCTCCTCCCCACGCCCCTCTGAGAGACATTTGGTTACAAAGAACTCAATGGTGCTCTAGGAGGAGATTCAGGTGATAAGGGGGGAGGGATGGGGGTTACCTTGGTTGCTGATTGGCTAATGGTTACACAAGACAAAACATCGTTATGACATCATAAAGTGTCCAAAATCTGATCGGCTCATTTTCAGACAGGTTTTTATAGAAATGGATCAAAAAGAGAGAGAATCTTTGTTCCTGAAACTTTCAGAGTCTCTTTCCACAGAGGAGACACATGTTGATGTAGAAGAGACATGAAGAAGAGGGGACACATGTTGATGTAGAAGAGACATGAAGAAGAGGGGACACATGTTGATGTAGAAGAGACATGAAGAAGAGGGGACACATGTTGATGTAGAAGAGACATGAAGAAGAGGGGACACATGTTGATGTAGAAGAGACATGAAGAAGAGGGGACACATGTTTGATGTAGAAGAGACATGAAGAAGAGGGGACACATGTTGATGTAGAAGAGACATGAAGAAGAGGGGACACATGTTGATGTAGAAGAGACATGAAGAAGAGGGGACACATGTTGATGTAGAAGAGACATGAAGAAGAGGGGACACATGTTGATGTAGAAGAGACATGGAGAAGAGGGGACACATGTTGATGTAGAAGAGACATGAAGAAGAGGGGACACATGTTGATGTAGAAGAGACATGAAGAAGAGGGGACACATGTTGATGTAGAAGAGACATGAAGAAGAGAGGACACATGTTGATGTAGAAGAGACATGAAGAAGAGGGGACACATGTTGATGTAGAAGAGACATGAAGAAGAGGGGACACATGTTGATGAAGAAGAGACATGAAGAAGAAGAGGGGAACACATGTTGATTGTAAGAAGAGACATGAAGAAGAGGGGACACATGTTGATGTAGAAGAGACATGAAGAAGAGAGGGACACATGTTGATTGTAGAAGAGACATGAAGCAGAGGAGGACACATGTTGATGTAGAAGAGACATGAAGAAGAGGGGACACATGTTGCTGTAGAAGAGACATGAAGAAGAGGGACACATGTTGATGTAGAAGAGACTATGAAGAAGAGGGGACACATGTTGATGTAGAAGAGACATGAAGAAGAGGGGGACACATGTTGATGTAGAAGAGACATGAAGAAGAGGAGGACACATGTTGATGTAGAAGAGACATGAAGAAGAGGGGACACATGTTGATGTAGAAGAGACATGAAGAAGAGGGGACACATGTTGATGTAGAAGAGACATGAAGAAGAGGGGACACATGTTGATGTAGAAGAGACATGAAGAAGAGAGGACACATGTTGATGTAGATGAGACATGAAGAAGAGGGGACACGTGTTGATGTAGAAGAGACATGAAGAAGAGAGGACACATGTTGATGTAGAAGAGACATGAAGAAGAGGGGACACATGTTGATGTAGAAGAGACATGAAGAAGAGGATTTTGCATAACAGGTGACCTTTGAGTCTTGTATCAAAGTGCATTTGATGGTTTTTATTTTGAAGTGTCCTTCCTGTGCTGCGTTGAACCTGATGGCCAAAACAACAAGAACATATTTTATATAATATGTAATTCCTACAGTTTTATAAACTAACCTTAATTTAACAAGATGTCAAAGTTACAGCGACTGCTTTTCCCCATGTAATATGAAGACAGTAATATTATGGGATGGACTGCTGTGAGTTGATAGTGCCATCTGCTGGTGGAAACATGAATTACCAAAATGAAGTCAAAATAATAAAAAATCGGAAAGCCCAAAAATATCTCGATTTGTTTCTTTATGTCTTTTTAAAATATTTAATATAAAATATGTTTGTGATGAAGTATTTGTTGAGAAACTTCTCCTAAGTTAAGATTAATAACAAAAGTACTTAAACTACATTTTACTCCACACTTAATACTTCAAGTATGTTGAGTACTTTTCACTGCGCAATCAATATTTATACTTTTAAACTACATACGATTTAATACAAAATCAATACTTTTACTTTTCAAACGATGTACATTTTACTGTACAACAATACTTTTACTTGAAGAGCATTAACTAAAGTACTTAAGGTAAAAGTACTGTGTAGTGAAATGTAGTTTTACTTTAACTACATTGATTTCACTACACAGTACTTTTACCTTAAGTACTTGGGTTTGTAATTTCTTGTGCAAATATCATTTATTTTTGTAATCCAAAAAACACATACAGGGAACATTTAACTGCACAATCAATACTTTAAAGAGTGATTACAAACTTCTACTTACGTACAATTGTTCAGGACTTGTAGTGAAGTGGAGTATTGTCAGAATAAAGTACTTTTACTGCAGAAAAGAGTCTTTATCATACGAGGAAATTAAATGTTAAGCATCAGTTTGCATGTACTACTTTAAAGCAGACGTCTGTCGTCGGCGTCAATAAGTGGAATTCTTTGCCGAATGATTTAAAGGGCTGTAAGAACGTTTTTTATGTTGAAGAAAATGTATGCAGAAAGCGTAATGACACAGTTTGAAGTTGACTTTTGTGTTCTGGTTTTATGTTTCAGTATTTGTAAGCAACTGAAAGAATATTGCTTTTATTTTACTTTTTTATGGGTATTTAATTTGAGTTATTTTTTGTAAGAAGGGGCAGGTCAAATATCCCTGCTCCTTTCTACCATGCACTATAAAAAACAACCAGTATAACATGTTTTGTTTTAAAATAACTGCCATGTGTGGAATAAACAATGAAATGAATGTATACTTCCTCCCTGCTGTCTGGAGGTTATAAACGGTGTTTCTCACTGAGCCAAGTACGGAGATAAAGTGAAGTAAAGATGTCAGATGAACTCGGTCTCTGCTGATTGTGGTTATACTTCCTGTTTCCAGTATGAACTCATTTAGATTCGAGTTGACAGACAGAAACTCAATCAGCTGCAGAGATTGTATATCAGACTTCTGGAGGAGATGATGAAGATGTACCTGCTTTAGGGGTTATCGGTGAGTACGGAAACAACACATTTGATTTTAAAATCAGTGTAGGAAGTCACAATTAAAGTACATTACTTACGATGTATTTTCTAGGCCTCACGATGGGCGTTCTAGAGATATTTAAATTCAACTTAAGGGTAATTAAAGTCAGTTTTGTGCCCTATGATTAAATACATAAGTGAACTTACCCTCCGTCTTTATTCACACGCCATCAAACTACCTCTTGTTTTACCATTGACTTTGAGCCCCTGAGTTTAAGAAAGGCAGGGTTGGTTATTTAATATCATTGATTGTTTATATTTATTAGTTTATTTTTCTATTCATATTTATAATATATATATTTGTGTTTTGTTTTGTATATATTATAGATTAAGGCATATTTTATGTATATTATCACACCTAGTTTTTCACTTATTATTATTTATTTGTTGGTATATTTGGGGGAAATGTGTGTGTGTGTGTGTGTATGTGTGTGTGTGTGTATGTGTGTGTCTGTCTGTCTGTCTGTGTGTGTGTGTGTGTGTGTGTGTGTGTGTCTCTCTCTCTGTCTGTCTGTCTGCGTGTGTGTGTGTGTGTGTGTGTGTGTCTCTGTCTGTCTGTCTGTGTGTGTGTCTGTCTGTGTGTGTGTCTCTCTGTCCGTCTGTCCGTCCGTATGTCTGTCTGTCTGTCTGTGTGTGTGTGTGTGTGTGTGTGTGTTTCTGTCGTCTGTCTGTGTGTGTGTCTGTCTGTGTGTGTGTCTCTCTGTCCGTCTGTCCGTCCGTATGTCTGTCTGTCTGTCTGTGTGTGTGTGTGTGTGTGTGTGTTTCTGTCGTCTGTCTGTGTGTGTGTGTCTCTCTGTCCGTATGTATGTATGTCTGTCTGTCTGTCTGTGTCTGTCTGTCTGTCTGTCTGTGTGTGTGTGTGTGTGTGTGTGTGTGTGTGTGTGTGTATTTTTGTAAAAACCTGACGTGTACTGTATGACATTGTACCAAAAAATTATAATAAATGCATTAATTATATTTAAATCTGGGCGTTCAATATCAGCCTGTATACAAATCTCAGAATATTTAAATGTTTCGCCCAATTAATTAATACTGAATAGCAAAAACCAATTCAATCAAGAAATGAAATAATAATATATACATTTTTTTTTAATGTTGTTTTAACGCCTTCAGTTTTTTCTTCACATGTCATATGTTCATATGTTCATAAGCACAATATTTATTTATTTAATTTAGATTTTTCCTCAATTTGAATTACTCTCCCTTTCATTGTTTAGGTGCAGTCATGTTATCAAGGGGACACAACAATGATGATGATGATGAAGAAGAAGCTTCTTTGTTTTACAATGGGGAAAATCACTATAACGTGACTGGAAACCTGATTGGAAACCTCACGTTCCAACCACCATGGTTGGATGAAGATGAACCATCAGGTACCCTCACTCTCATCTAATCTCTTCATTTACTTTATTTAAAATGTATGTTAGCTATGTGACTCTAATCGATTTAAGGGAAGTTAAACTGTGCAGAAACCCCTCTGGTTTCTGTATCAAATCATGTTTACAGTCTAAAAGCACAATACAAATTATAATTAGATCCTGATTTTATATTTTTCCGTACCAGCCTAAACTCTAATGCAAAGGCTAGCTAGCTAACTAGAGCAGAGTAAAACAGTCTTCTCAAAATTAGCTTCAAATTGGACGATTTACTGTATGTTTAATGCTACATTTTAGTAGGCCGTTAGCTAGAAATGTTTACCAACTAGCACGTAAAACCATAACACACGTGTTAACTTCCTTACAAGAGCAGAGCAACTCAGTCCTCTCAAATTGGAATATCTACTGTATGTCCAGTGCTAACGTTTAGTAGTTTGTTAGCTCGTTAGCTACACATGTTTACAAAGTATTATAGAAATTAGCTTCAAATTGGACGATTTACTGTATGTTTAATGCTACATTTTAGTACGCCATTAGCTCGTTAGCTACACATGTTTACGAACTAGCTCGTAAAACCATAACACACGTGCTAACCAGAGGTCGCGTTAACCGAATATTTTACGTCTATGACGTTTTTTTTTTTAACAACGACGGAAAAATCTGAAAGCCGTCCGTCATTTGGACAGATTAGAACAAACTCAGAACAGCGCCAAAGCTTCCCCGCAGCGGGGCTTCGGTGTTATTATGCATGCCTTCCCAAAAGGAAATGATATCGTTTTCAAACCTAACTTTGCCGAACAGATAATTGAAATGACTGAGTACAAGCTTTACGCTGCGCTCCCGCGAGGTGCAGTGGGCATGCATGACACGGCACTAACAGTTCACGAGCGAGTGTGCGTCACCGTCCCCCCGGCAGAGTTGTTTACAGGCCGACGGGTTATAATGGATTTAGACGGAAATGTTACGATCCTGTCCGTCAAAATGACGGGCAGCGAAAAAGTCTAGCACAACCTCTGGTGCTAACATCCTTATAAGAGCAACACAGTATTATAGACATTAGCTTCATATTGGAATATCTACTGTATGTCCAACGCTAACGAATAGTAGTTTGTTAGCTAGTTAGCTACAACCAACTAGCTCGTAAAACCATAACACACGTGCTAACCAGAGGTCGCGTTAACCGAATATTTTACGTCTATGACGGTTTTTTTTTAACAACGACGGAAAAATCTGAAAGCCGTCCGTCATTTGGACAGATTCCTTCCTTCCTTACAAGAACAGAGCAACACATTCTTACAGAAAATTAACTTCATATTGGATCCAATGCTAACGTTAGCAAGTTAGCTACAATTTTAACTAATCCGTAGAACCAAATATTTTACTAAAATGCACGAGTAAACCTTGTGCCACTTTCAGGATGTTAATATTTGTTATATATATATATATATTGTAGCACATTTTTACTTTGAATGTTCAATGTTAATTTATTAAATAATTTATTTAATTCTTAATTTACACGGGCAAACATTAAGTCGTTTTTTATTTGACAATAGTTTTTATGTTATACATTACTGTGTTTACTTGTACTAAAATGTGCAACCTTGTGCCACTTTTATTTACCAACAAATGTTCTGTAAATGATATTTTATTCTCATATCGTTGCATTTGAACATCCTCCTTGTTTTCTCCTACAGGTGACAACTCGGGTGAAAACAACGCCCCCTCTTCTTCCTTTACGGCCAATCCACTCTGTCTGGTCTTCGTTCTCTTGGTTCCCTTCATCTTAGCATGTTAATAAAGCTTTTTGTTTCACGATAAACTACAATGTACTAAGTCGTTGTGTTAAATTATCCACGACAAGTTTTTTCGGTATCTCTTATGCCTCCTTTTATCTCCAATAAGCCTCTGCTAACACTGTTAAGATCAACAATGTTTGACTAATAAAATGAGTTATAATCTTATTAGCTTCTTAAGTTTACATTTTGTTGTGGGTTTCAATGAGGCCCCTCAAGGCCTTTCGGGACTGAATTCTGAGTTTTCTGAAGTCATTTTGCAGATTAGATTGGGGCGGTGGTGGTGAAGTCCATAGGGACTTGGCTTGGTAACTGGAAGGTCACCAGTTCAAGTCCCGGAAAGACCAAGTGCTACCGAGGTGTCCCTGAGCAAGGCACCGTTCCCTACACTGCTCCCCGGGCGCCGTTCAAAATGGCAGCACACTGCTCCTAACACTAGGATGGGTCAAATGCAGAGACACAATTTCCCCACAGGGATTAATATATATCAAAATCAAATCAAAATTAATATGGATTTAAGGATTTCACCTTGTCTTAACTTTTAGGTTTGAAAGTATAAATGTTTGTTCTTTAATTGTGAGATGCCACTAGACACTCTTAAATGGGTTATTTCACTCTTTGAAAATGTATTTAATGTTTGAGTTTATCCTTCGTTAAAGTGAATGTGTTTCTTGTTGCTTTATTTCATTAAAGTGAATAATCCCAGCACTTTTTCCACAACTGCCGACTGTAAAACCTCCGTTTTTTAACTGTGGCCATAAGATTTAAATGTTTTGCAAGGAAAAATAGAAATAAAAGAAGTTTAAGATCATGTTATCAACTTCTAGAGAAGCAAGACACTCTTGAGCTCATCTGAAATCAATAAAATCTTAACAAAAAAAGCACAAAAAGTCATTTTCCTACAGCTTTTTGCACGCCATAATGCAAAGGTGCATTTGAAGAGTGTGTGTTTTGTTTGCAGTGGATTCAAACATGACAAAGTGAGATGTTTGAGGTGACAATCAGAAACAGAGCGACATCCTGTGTTTTCGCCGTGTGGTCTGTGACTCAGTTCCTGAAAACTGACTGAAACCAAGTGACATTCAGAAGGTAGAGAGACAAAGACATGAAGCACCAAAAAGATCAATTAAGGGTACAGAAGAAGGATTAAAGTATATATAAGATTGTACTACAAGGCCAAACATATGTGTGCACCTATATAACAACAATAAGCACTCATATACCTCACTATATTAAGGATAGTTATTGTTTTAAGTGTATTTTGTTTATTCTTTTGTTTCAGCATTAATATAATTATTCATATTAATTCAATACTGCTTATATTTGTTTACATTTTTAACATATGTATGTGGTATATATTGTAGCACAGTTTGACTTTAAACGTTCTAATTTCATTTATTAAATATTTGTATTTAATTTAAATATTTGTATTTAATTGTATTTATTATTATTTTAATTTGATTGTATTTAATTTATTTTCATTTAATTATTTGTGTTTATTTAAATCTTCCTTTGGGAATACATTAAGTCGTTTTTTTGTTACAATAGTTCTTATATGATATATTTCTGTGTGTTTGTATGCACGTTATACACCAAAGCGACCTTATTTTATGCGTAACCTACTTTGCAATAAACCAAATTCTAGGAGTAGGATTTTATGTAAAAGCTTTCAATGCATCCATTAAATAAAGTGGAAAAACTCAAGACAAGTGTTTCAGAATAAATTGGATTAAATGCACTTTTACTTTCCACATGTGCTTGTTTCAAAAAGTGAGTAGCAGGTGGGATTAGAGACGAGAGGAGGGGAGGGGGAAACCTTCAGAGCGACGGAGAGGAAGCAGACAGCTCGTGAAGAAGTGAGAATTTAAGAGCAAGAGATTTCACAGAATAAGGAACAAAAAAACACAATCGGCATCACGGAGGATTATCTAACATCTTTAACAACATTTCTTTGTGTGTGTGAAAAAGTGAAATCGTCGCGATGAGGAAATTGTGGAGATGCCTTTGCTTCCTCGGTGAGTACAATTATTCAAATGATTTATTGAGAGTTGCAAAATGATAATAAACGTGCGTCAAATTGTGTTTTTAGTCGTGAAAAAGCATGAAAGAAACACGTCGATTTAATCAAACGTGTGGCTTCCCGCGTCGGCTGGAGTTCAGGTAGTTTTCACATCAGACGCTGAAATGTAGTTGCCTCTACTTGCATTTATTTATTCAACAACTTTAAAAGCCTCGATTTAATCCTGAATCTAATGTCCGTGAATCGTTTTGAGGTTTATTGAAGGAGCGCCTGCCATGTGCAGGAAGTGATATAAAAAGCACACGAATGCAGCAGATTTAAGGAAGTTAACCAAAAGAAATGATGAAATAAGTCAAAAAATAGAAAAGTAACGTGTTAATTAATTCCATTTAATTATTGAGTGTATCTTCCCCTGCAGCGTCATCTCACTTCTCATCCGCAAAGCCGCAGCTATTCTACCGTAAAAGTGCAAAATACTTTAAAGTATTCCTCGACAGGTTGCTGTTAAGTGTTTCTTTAGATTACATTTGATTAATTGAGACACAAACACACTTTAAATGACACACACACACACTTGAACTGACGCACATGCACACACGCAAACACACACACGCAAACACACACACACACACACACACACACACACACACACACACACACACACACACACTTGAACTGACGCACATGCACACACGCAAACACACACACACACACACACACACACACACACACACACACACACACACACACACACACACCACACACCACACACACACACACACACACACACACACACACACACACACACTTGAACTGAAACACACACACTTTAACTGAAACACACACACACACACACACACACACACACACACACACACACACACACACACACACACACACACACACTTGAACTGAGACACACACACTTTAACTGAAACACACACCCACACACACACTTTAACTGAAACACACACACACTTTAACTGAAACACACACACACACACACTTTAACTGACACACAAACCCACACACACACACACTTGAACTGACACACACACACACACACTTTAACTGAAACACACACACACACACACACACACACTTGAACTGAAACACACACACACACTTGAACTGAAACACACACACACACACACACTTTAACTGACGCACACACACACACTTTAACTGACACACACACACTTTAACTGAAACACACACACACACACACACACACTTGAACTGAAACACACACACACACTTGAACTGACACACACACACACTTGAACTGAAACACACACACACACACTTTAACTGACGCACGCACACACACCTTATTTGCTGTTAAGTGTTTCTTTAGATTGCATTTGATTCATTGATATTAATTGATATTTTTGTAGCAATGCAACATAATCTAAAAGTCCCATTTCTGTTTCTTCTGTTTCAGTTGTAGCCTTTTCTTCAGCTTCCAGAGGAGCGAATGAAACGGCTGTTACACCAGGTAACGATGCTGAGGATTTAACGTGCATCTCCTTCCAGATCTGCAGTTTCTAAAGACATATTTAATGCTCGTAATTGCATAGAAAACTCAACAAAGGAGCGTGAAAAGTGCTTAGTAAGCTCTCATGGTGCATTACTACATCCCTCACATACTTATGTATTTAACCTGCTTTATATTGTGTTATTGTAAATTCAACATGTATATTTTCTATGTTCTTGTTTATTGTACAATGCCATGTCTTTTTATGCTGCTGCAACGCAAACATTCCCCACATTGGGATCAATAAAGTTCTTCTGATCTTAAATGTGTTTTATACGATGAGGGTCTGATGGTGTGTTTCCACCATGTTTGAAACAGAGCTCCCCCCCCCCACTCCTCCTCCAATGGGATCTGATGAAACTCAAAATGAATCCAGCTCCACCCTAGAGACCCCCGTGTTTAACAACACATCAGCGAACACACCAGATCTGCCTTCAACAAACCTTACGGTGAGAAATGTAACTTCAAATATTCAAAATCTTTAAACAACTCTTTTTAAGTATTTGTATTTTAATGTTGAGCAGATCTCTCTCTCTCTCTCTCTCTCTCTCTCTCTCTCTCTCTCTCTCTCTCTCTCTCTCTCTCTCTCTCTCTCTCTCTCTCTAGATAACATTAATACATAATAATAACAATTCTTTGTTCGTTGGAACTCCCTCCCACCTGACATCCAGAATATTGACTCTCTCTCCATTATCAAATCCCATCTCAAATCATGTTTCAAATCCCGTCTCTTCACCCTGATCACATGACACGTCCTCTGTTGTTATTGAATATATTGTTTTGTTTTTGTATTTTGTACGGCGACCTTGAGAGCCTTGAAACGGGACTGTAAAAAATGTAATATATTATTAATATTAAAATATTTTACCTACCGAAAAAAACTATGTAATTTTTAGGAAACTAATTTTGATTTAAACTTTTTTTTAAAAGCTTAAAAAGTTAAAAATCACATCATTACGTAACACTGATTACTGTCAAACTTGAAACAAAGCACAATATATTAATGTTTTATTCTTAATATAATATGTTTTAATTAAAATAATGAATTTGGATATTAAGTATAATATACATATTCCAACATTTTGATCAGTAAAAAACTAAATGTACATATATTATATAATGTTATGCTCACATGTAACAAGTGTCTCCCCAACACAGTTAATAAAGCTTATAAATTCAACTTGTGACATTTTTCTTTTTCTACGCCTATTAAAGACCAAAGAAGACCTTGGATCGGAGGACTCGTTTAATGGCACCACAGAAGAAGACAGCGTCAGCACGACATTTATTGGGATAGGCGGGGCTAACGAAGTCACGACGACCGTTTCCATAGAGACGGACATTTCCTCGTCAACACCAGGTACTGTATGTGAGAGTCATGTGACTTCCTGTCAAACCACACACACATTTTAACTGACATACCACACACACACTTTAACTGACACACCACACACACACTTTAACTGAGACACCACACACACACTTTAACTGACACACACACACAAACACACACACACACACACATTAACTGAGACACACATACTTTAACTGAAGCCCGTGCACACACTCAAACACTTTTACTGACAAACACACACACTTGAACTGACACATGCACACAAACAAACTTGAACTGACACACATGCTCACACACACACACACACACACACACACACACACACACACACACACACACACACACACACACACTCACACACACACACTCACACTTTAACTGACACACACATACAGAGAGGGATTAATAAAGTATCTCTTCTTCTTCTTCACAGACTTTAAATGACGCACACACATACACACACACACACACACACACACACACACACACACACACACACACACACATACACACACACACACACACAAATTATTAAAGTCTGGTTCTGTTTATTTTACAGTAACAAGTGGAGGCACAGGTCATTCCTCCTGGGGTAAGGATGTTAAAAAATATATGTTTTTATTTATTTGTATTCTGAGGAGAGAACTTTTACAATTTTAATTATTTTAACAATTAAAAAACATTTAAATTGTATTTAAATTGAACACTTTGGGGCTCCTTATTTTGTTAAATCTTTAAATGTATTTATCAACTGATTGTTATTGCAAGTGGTAATTAACGAGCCCCTGAAAGCTTCTCCTTAATGATAATTCATCTGTATTCCCGCTCTGTGTGTAGGCTATGTGCTCCTGGTGTTAATCATCGTGGTGATTATTATTCTGTGCGTCATGCTCTACTTCCTCAGGAGAGTCTCCAGGGTAAGAGAAACAGATTTATGCTGATATTTCCTTTAAAATACATATTTCACTCCCAATAATTTCATTTTAGAATCAAAGAAAAAGTTCAGCTCCAATTTAAATATATTATTTTCCTCTAACCTGTAGAGTTTTGATACAATTAGACTCTTTAGTGTGTTTTCCTGAGTGTTGGATAATGAAGATAAAGGTAGCAACCCTATATAAAACAAAATGAGATAATTGAAGTCCTTGTTATGAAAAACCCTTGAAATTGGAAATTCCTATTATTCTTACTCAGATACTAAGTCACTCTTTTGCCATGTTAAGTCATTATCTTTATTTATTGATGGATATATTTTGACTTTTTATTTTATACAAAACAGGGTGTAGCTCCGTAGAAAGAGAAAGTTCCTTAATGAAACTTGTCATGCTCAAGAAAAGCATCCAATTTGTAATTTGGGTTTGTATTTTTGTGATAATTAAGCAATATTTCTTTAGTTGTTGGACTTCATTTGACAAAACAGGGTGTAACTTGGTGAAAATACAATTCTTCCTCTATTAAACTGCTCACAACAATAAATATCTTTAGGAACCAGGTTTAGATTTTTCTGCAAAAAGACACTGATATCAATATTTTAAAATGTCTCCCTGGACCATCTAGTTCCACTATATTAAAGAGAAATCCTAAAATGGACCACTCACACAAAAACAACTACAATTAAGAGGGAAAATATGCATTTATTGAGGTTAATATCTCTATTTTTGATCTTGTTTGTTTATTTTCTTTCCTGTCCAGACGTACTCTTTCGACCTCCATCGTCCGATTCCCTCAAACCATCGCAACGACCCCGTCGGCACCTTTGAGCCCGTCTACCTGGACGACCTGGGTGTGTGTGGTTACATTTTTAATTCACATTAAGATGACTATACGAACATATCATGACGTGTGTGTGTGTGTGTGTTATTTAAAATCAACCAGCCCCTAAAGACCAAGGAAACACTGAAGACGTTCCACCTCCTCCTCCGGTATCCAACGGCACAACAATTCAGACGGAGGAACGGGAATCCAATGGAGAGAGCGGTAGAGACAAATTATGTTTTCTGGCTTTTGTTTAAAACGGTCTGAAATGTGGCCAAATGGTTCCTTTCGGTTCATTTTAAAGGGGACCTATCATGTCTTTTATACATACATATGTGTCCCAGGCCCGGTGCGTCGGGGAACTCAGGCAGCGTCAGAAAATAAAACCCTCTCTCTTTTCCTCCGTACCCAAATCTTTTAAAACCAGGGGTACAACGAGCGGATACAGATTCCATCCGCTGTGACGTAATAGCGGCGGCGGACCCACAGAAAGTTGCTATCAGAAACAATGCCTGACGTGTTTTGGACGTAATCTCGTCTTTGTTTAAATTAGCAAGCCTCGCTAACACTCAGAGCTAACCTGTACTGGAGAGCACATGTGTTTAAAAAGCAGGAAATAAAAAAAGGAACTCACCTTGTGAAAAACCCGCAAGAGAAAAAGCATTTGAGCTCCATACTGTTTCAGAAATAATCCTTGATGTGGTTTAGAACAGGATGGCGTTTTATCACAACAGAATTGAACTTTATCTTCTTCTTTTTTCAAGCTAAGGACCCAAAATCCGCGTTTCTCTAACAGGGCTGAAATAGAGGGGTTTGAGCAGAATGAGGCACGGCTACAACGGGTGATCTGTTTGGTATTTTGAAAAGAAAACTTCACAGACATGTTTTGTATAGGTATGGCCCTACAATATATGTTTCAAATATAGCATGGTAGGTCCCCTTTAAGGGCAGCCACTTGCAGTATTTCAATATTATGTGAGTTGTATGAATCTCAACTCCATTAAAACACAATCACGTTTGCTCAAAAAAAGGTACAAAAATGTATCTATCAACAACCGTCTTTGCTCAGATTGCCACCAGAGGAAACACAATATTTTAGAACTACAACAGTGGATTTTGCATTCAAGTTTTCCCCATCACAAGCCCAAAAAACTACAAAATAGTTAGTCAAAGACATGTTGAAACTTCATCTTCACGAATAAACCAGTTTTCGTTGTTGGTTTCTATTGTTTTACCATTGATTTCCTCCTTTTGCTGCTTTTCAGTTGGATCCTTGCCTGTTTTTTAATATGTCTGTGGTCTAAAGTTGCCAGACCAATTCATTTTGACCAAAATATATGTTAAGATCTCAAATCTAAGTTAAGTTCATTTTGTTTAACCGTTAGACTACTGTACGTCAGAGAACAAACAAAACAACAAATACAATAAAAATAGTGTCTCCACAAATAACTTAAACGCAATGTAAGCTGAACATTTCTTATCGTCACGTTAACAAAGTCTCGGTTTGGTCTTACCTTTCCGTCTCTTCTTCCGCAGCTCCTCAGGAACCGTCAGCAGCAAACGGTTCGGAGGCTTCGCCCGGACACACCGACCTGTCGCTGATCGGAGACGCAGAGGAAAAGACCTCCAGTCCATCGGGAAGCACCAGCATCTTCTTCGACACTATAGGGGAGGAACAGCAGAACGAAAACAACAACAACCCATGTAAGATACTTTATATTAATGCAAACAACTAAAAAGGTCCATATGTGAAAAAGGGCCACAGATTTACGGATATAAAAGATAGTGTGGGAAATGAGAGCAATACAATTATAATACTATGATCTGGTGCACACTGTCTTCTAAAAGCATTATTAAGAGGTCATATCTCTTTGAAATCGTAGCTTAGAACAAGGATATTTGAGTGGAAAGAGATCATAATTTGGATGGAAGTGTAATTAAAATGTATTATACTAATGCTAATTGTAAACACCACAAAATGATCAAATTGCTGCTCATTGTGTCACTTTTTTGGAGTTTTTTGTATCAACTGAGGGCAGAATTAAATGTACGAATACAATAACTTTAATTAAATAATAAGACTTTTACTTTAATCAAGAAAGGTACAAAAGGGTATTCAGCTAAACATCTTTGATTTAATATATTTGGGAAAATATAGCTATGTTAAAGTGGACCTATCATGCTATATTTGAAACATATATTGAAGGGCCATACCTCTATAAAACATGTCTGTGAAGTTTTTTTTCAAAATACCAAACAGATCATGCATTTTAGCCATGCCTCATTTCGCTCTATTTGCTCTATTCCAGCCCTGTCTTCACAAGGGCTGATTCTGTGGCAAATGAGCTGCAGCTGACCACGCCCCCTTGCAACGGAGGGGGGCGAGGCACGAGCGTCATGTTACCATGGTTATTGCGGCAGTAATCTTAAACAAAGTGCCGCGAGGGACTAAACAAGAGAAAAAACACTGTGGACGTGCAACAACTCAGTCTTTCCAACACAGTATGCATCCGCAGTATATCCTTATGCGTGCATGCGGTCAACAAAAATTGTCCTTCTCTAGCTCACTCCCGCATGTAAAAGCAACCGGATATAAGCACAAACGTCACCACACAAATTCAATGACACGCCCACCACCTATAGTTACTCAAAAAACATGTATCGTAACAAACACAGAAATGGCTTCATATGTGGCTCCTACAATGCTGTTACCATGCTGTTACCATGCCACGGCAACCTCTCATTCCCCTGATAGGTGGAGAGTTGCCCATATAGGCGGAGCTCCCCATTTCTGACGTCAGAACAATTTCAAATCTGTATCAATTTTTATCAGATCCGTTGCAGCCCCGTTTTTAGAGATTTGGGTATGGAAGAAAAGAGAGAGGGTTGTGTTTTCTGACACTTGGTGAGTTCCCTGAACACCGGGGACACATATTCATGTATAAAAGACATACAAAAGTGCATTTTGCGTGATAGGTCCCCTTTAAAATTGGAAATCTGAAAGTTATACTTGGTCTTGATCTTACATTTTACAAAGGGCAAAATAAATGAATGTACAAATACAATAATTCTAGTATATCGTACTTTCTTAAGTACATTTTGCTGTAAAATGTGTGTACTTTTTACTAAGTATCCTAAATACAGGGCTTTCTTTACTGAACAACATTGCTAAAAGAAAATAGTGGCTTACAAATAAATCAGTCAGCTAATAGACTTTAACCGCTGAGCAAGAAATGTACAATTGGTGTATTTTGCTAAATATTTTAGGGAAACATCTCATAGTTATACATATTGATCTAAGGTTCATTTTGCTGTGAATCTTAACTTAAAGATGAAAGCAGGACTATTACTTGTAGTATTTTTACTGAAGGATATAGTAAAGTATGCTAATAGCCTAATAGCTAAAGAAGTCAGATGAAGAAGTAGCTATATTTTCTCCTTTAGATATGCAAAGTGGATTCTGCTATTTACTTTGGATGAATATTTTGGAAATGTAAAATCTTCTTGTTTCCTTCTCGTTTCTTTAGCGGTTTGCTCCAGTGACCCGTTTGTTGAAATACACCTGGAAGATAATCTCCTCACCTCCTTTGAAGCTCCTTCCTCCGTCCTGCCCTTCTCTCCTTTCTCCTTCTCCTCTTATTCCTCTTCCTCTTAGCGCCTCCAATGATCAGAATCAGAATCATTGTATTACCAAGTAGGTTAAGAGATATTAGGAAGTCATCTTGGTGTATTTGGTGCATACATAAACACAGTCAAAGAAGATAGAATTGTAAGAAAAGGACCATTAAATAAAACAAGGTTAAAAAAACGATTTAACGAAAAATATTATAACATTAAAATACAGCAATATGTATATGAAATATAGAAGAAATATAGATGTATATACCCGTAACAAATAAAATATAATAAAATAAAGTGTGCGCAGTATTCGTATGATGAAGCGTACTTGAAACACACACACACACATTCCATGTATACATCACTTCAGGGGACATTACATTGACTTACATGCATTTCCTGGAGACTTGAGATCCTAACCTTAACCATAACCAACACATGCCTAACCCTAACCCTTAACCTTACCCTAATCCTAACCCTAACCAAGTCTTCACCCTAAAATGAATGATCCCCCTCATGGGGACCTCCATGCTGTCCCCATAAGGGAGGCGAGTCCCCACACGTGACTGTGTAAACAGATTTAGGTCCCCACAAGTATAGTAATGCTAGGCCGGAAGTTATTTAAGACTTTTTGTCCTCAGATCAGTGAAACAGCAGTTAGCTCAGTTAGCAGAAACTACCGTTAGCTCTAAGCTAACTGGCTAAGCTAACTAGTAGGATGACTAGGCAGTTTATTTGTATTGCCGTTTCAAATGTATTAGGAGTATTAATACATATAGAAATAACAAGTAAATAGAGAGCGACAGTAACTGTATAATATGACTGTTAAACAGATATACATTCATATTTTAAAAAGCTATTTTGTGAAGTTAGACACCTCTCTGTGGAAAATACTAGAAACTGAAATCATGTAGGACTTTTTATTTGTAGTATCTTCAGTATTTTTACATAAGATTGGGTTTTTTTAATTTATTTTTCAGAAAATACATTTTACTGCTGACATTTTGCTTAAATGAGATGGGTTTTGGATCAGACTGACATACAAATGCATGTGTTGTATAGACAAACTGATGTTGTTTTTTAATCATTATGCCTTGTGTTCGTGTTTTCAGTGGCTTGTAATTATATTTTGAATACATGAGAACTTTTTCAGGAGTTGTACAACTGTTATTTTTCACAATTGCTAGATCTGTTTACATTTTTTAAATAAAGTTTCACTCCAACAGTTTTTTCCAGTCCTATTTTTGTACTCTGTTCCAAATGTGTACATAAATAAGATGTCTCAGGAAAGAAAGAGTCCACAAAACTAACTGGGAAACTTTAACTTGTTTAACTCAGACTTGAAAACCTTTAAGCTTAGCTAATCTTTAGATTTTTACACAGAAACAGCACCAGGATAAATCTTTTTAAAGGCCAGTGTACAGAGATACCAGGAACTAATGGCTGCTCCAATGCACATATGCATGTTTTAAGACAGATTAAGGGTCATTCCAGAATTGGAGGACAATTTAGACACCAACATTTTGGAAAAATTAACCTTTTATTTTATATATTTTTTTATGTATTTAGTAAAAACAGATAATAAACCATCAAAGTGATTTGCCAAGCTAGGCATCACATGTATATTTTCCAATGAAGAATTACCCCTGCTACTCTAATTATAGTAACAGGGTTGCAAATCAATGCTAATTTGAGCTTTAACCTCAGGAATTATTGCTAGATGTAGCATGTAATGCTACTTTCAAGGCAAGGACAAACTTGGATATCTAATGCAAGAAAGATAACTTTGAAATTAATATGCTTTATTCTGATAATATCAGTAACAGGGTTGCGTGGGTCAGAGTGCCACACTCTTTTAAGACTGAAAAGATTGTAAAAATATGAAAAATAAAAGAGAGGACTTAGTTGTGGTCTACCCATGGCACTAGCACATGGCTTGCTGTCCTTTCCTGTGTGTCATCTGACTTACAGTTTTTTCACTTCCTGTGCCAATCTAAAAAGGTTTGGGTAACAGGGTTGAACGCATGTTGAGGGACACACCTTCTGTGCAAAATTACTGTTATTTAAAATATGTTTATGATTTAACAAATTGATTTGACCATTACAAGAGACATATATCATTAGAATAATACCAACAAAAGTAAATCAAATCCATATTTTAAATGTTATATTTGACATGCAAGTTGGTCACCAAGAAGCAGAGACAAGAGAAAAATGCCATCTTAGGGGATGTTCGAGAGCTATTTGATCATTTAAATAATATTTTGAAACCACTTTTTCTACAACTTTATATACATTTTATCTCAAGACAAGTAGTTTAACACAACAAGTGCATGTTTTAGCATTTTGGGCATGGATTATTAGATTTTGTATATGGGGGACATGAAATGTCCTCCAATTCTGGAATGACGCTTTTATTTGACGAAAGCACTCTTGAGACAGCAGACTAGGTCAAGTTAACAGCTGGATGCTAAATAACCTGGCTTTATAATGGATTGAGTCTGAACTAAGTCACCAACTAAGATGATTTTAACAGAATGTGAAAGTGACAAGGTGTTGAACACACCCTAAAACCTCTTCTTCTCCACTATATTTGAAAGAGAATGGATTTAACTCCATTAGGTTTATTTTACTTTTCAGATAACGATTGTCTCATTAAAACCTGCCAGGAACTAATGGCTGCTCCAATGGATATAATATTCATGTTTAAAGAGAGATTTGGAACACAATTAAGGCTTTTCTTTGACAAAAGCACTCCGAGACAGCAGACTAGCTCAAGTTACCCACCAAAGCTAACAGTTGTATAAGTGCTAGATGCTAAATAAACTGGCTTTATAAAGGATTGACCCTGAACTAAGTCATGCTGCGAGCAACATTGACAAATAAAACCGTCTTTCTTTAGAGATGCCTCACCTGGAGTCTGCCATCAGGTGAGTAAATACTGAGGGGCTAATTGGGAAATGTGAAAAAGGTGGGCAGTGTGGGAGTCATGTGACTTTGAACATACAAAGAACACTGAGGTCATCTGGTGGATGGAGGAATAATTGCATGTTGGAGGTGTTAATAAACAGATAATTCATGCAACACTAAAGTAGAAAGTCTCTATGGAATACACAATGTAAAATATAAACACATACCTTAGAATACACTATAAAAGACCAATCTACTTCAATCAAAACATGAAAATACAAACGTAAGAAAATGTGCAAAGTAGTTGGTTATTGCAATGGTAGATGGTGAGTTTAATATGTGCAGATTGTGCAGGGCTATACAAAAAGTAGACATAGTGGAGAAAAGAAGAATAGCCCTGCAAGCTTCGTTTGATCCAAAGATTAATCGAAGACAAGAAAATAATAATTTACATTAGACATTTTCTTCCTTTGTTATCATTTTAATGAAGACATACTGTAAAAGCTTAAAAAAACATGAAAGTGCAGTGAATATATTGCAAATAAAATGCCAAGCAGTAAATAAGTGCATCAAAAAGCAATTATTAAAATAATCATGAAAAACTCTAGGTATTTGCTACAATCATAACCTTTTTTTATTATTGAACCTTTATGTATGAGAAGTCTCATTGAGTGTAAACATTGTGATGGCTAAGATAGGCAGCGACAAATAAACACATTAAAGTAAAAAGCGCAGCTCCCTGAGTGTCAGTTGCAGCTGATGGGTTTCCCCTGTTTTACGACAGATCGCAATAATCTTGAATAGCACCAAGAACAGTTGTATAAATAACGGTGTGCCATTAAACCCTGAAGATTTAGAAAATAAACGATCATTTTGGCTTTTGTTGTATCCAAAGGGGGAGGGTTGTGTTCTAAAACATATAAATACTATAAGGTTTGACAGCTTGAGAGTTTGACAGGTTTTTCTTTTTAAATAAAGTTTAGCTTTAGTGCAATCGATTTTAAACTCTGGCCACGGAGACTCCATGATTCTGATTGGCTGGTTGAAGTGGATTTACTCTCAGTAATAGTGCTCAACTTTAAGTAACAGGACGGTGTAACCATAGTGTGTGTTTGCAGTTCACAGTACCAAGACATAAGTAAGACTGTGTGATTTGCGCACGGCACGTCTGTCTCCTGCTGCATAAGTGATGCGTTCACGGAACATACGTAAATTAGTCAACTGCATTATAACCTGGGTCAGCATTTCAGCACTTCTTGTTCAACGGTCTCAAAGTCAAGGGTTTTTGAATACATTTTGTGGTAAAAGTTGAATAGAAAATTAACACAAGCTGAAGAGATTTTAACGTTTGTTCCACAACATGATGCACATCAGTACATTTGATTATTTGGCCAAAAATAAGGCACCTTGAGCTTAGAAGTGGGAACATAAAGTCATGTGACCATGATAAAGTTCGTACGGCCTAACGGCCCGTCTACACTACAGGCGTCAAAAAATGCTTTCAACGCTTCGCCCATTCATTTGAATGGGGTGACGTAGGATATTTTCAAACTTCGCCGAACTGCATTGTGGGTAGCATGGCAAGGCGTTGCAAGCATCGCGAGCGTCTATCGGCGTCAAAAGTTGAACAATGTTCAACTTTTGAGGCTCGATGCTTGCTCGAAGCTGGCGTCAGCCAATCAAATCCCGTTTTTGCAATTCCAGCCAGTACAAGCGCTAGCCAATCAAACCGCGTGCAAGCTGGGAGAGCCAGACCGCAGTTCATTGCCTCATATTCCAAACGAGAAATGACGGTAGCAAATCACCCGGTTCTTTCCGACCAGAACTATTTACCGGGATACAAACCGGAGGAGCCAGGCATGGAGGGAGGAGGCAGAGACAGTGGGTGAAACTGGTAGGTTTTCGCCTGTTTGGGGATTTTATATCCAGTTTACTTCGTTTTAACATTGCTATTGCTTTGTATGTCGGGGGCGGGAGATTCATGTGATTGGTTGTTGGTCGCGTTGCTCGCAAAAAATCGCCAAGCTTCAGACACGCCCAGTTTCAAGCTTTTTCGATGCCTGTAGTGTAGACGGGCCGTAAGAAAGACAACGTGAGAGACACAAAGAGAGCCAGTAAAGCCACTGCTGATATTCCCAGTCCGATGTAGAGCGCGATAATTCCCTGGATCTTCTGATGGGGTTTCACAGTTTGTGTCAGAGGTCTGGGCTCAGCAGCAGCTGTGGGAAATAACAGAAAATAAGCACAGAACATTAACAGGGAGACATTTGTACAAACATGCATGTTCTCCAGAGGGTGAATCCTGCTGATTTCTTCCGCTAGCGTCTCCAGTAAGGTTTGGGATTTTTAGCTAAATTTCCTCCACAACTACTTGATGGATTGCCATGAAATTCAGGACAAACGTTCAAAGATATTGAAGTGACTGTTATTTTGTATATATTGATTGTTGTGCTTTTATCTTAATGTGTGCCTATGTCTAAATGTGTCTGTTGATTATATAGATGTATATATATTTTAATGCACATTTCTATATATATTTGTGTTTTTGTATTTGGGATTGGGGGAAACGGTATTTAGATCTCTTTATTATTGACAATAAAGTTGACTTTACTTTTTTGACTTTGATGTTTCCCTCAGGATACTTTTTACCTTTGGTAATCCAAAGCGGCACCCTTAGGGGTTAAGGGTAATTTACTCACCAGTGACGTTGAGCCAGCATCTCCTGGAGTTCCTCCCCTCAGATTTGATGAGTATGTCACACACATAAAACCCAGAGTCACTGGTCCTGAGTCTGGAGACATGAAGTGTGAGGCGTCCTTCTGTGAGGACGTCTTTGTCCCACTGGACTCGTCCTGCAAACTGAGGATCCTGAGACTCTGGGGATTCAACACCTTGATGGAGATGAAACAGGACTGAAATTCTGGTCTCAGTAAACATCTCACAGACGATATAAACTGATTTGAGTGAAGTTCTGGTGCTGAAGGTCCACTCCAGGGTGATGTTCTGGTTCTCCTCTGCCTGATAGGAAGCCTGAGTCACATTCACTACAAATGTTCCTGTGGAGGAGACACAGAGGGACTCTTTAAACTGCAGCTATGTTTCTGTGGAGGAGACACAGAGGGACTCTTTAAACTGCAGCTATGTTCCTGTGGAGGAGACACAGAGGGACTCTTTAAACTGCAGCTATGTTCCTGTGGAGGAGATACAGAGGGACACTTTAAACTGCAGCTATGTTCCTGTGGAGGAGACACAGAGGGACTCTTTAAACTGCAGCTATGTTCCTGTGGAGGAGACACAGAGGGACTCTTTAAACTGCAGCTATGTTCCTGTGGAGGAGACACAGAGGGACTCTTTGAACTGCAGCTATGTTCCTGTGGAGGAGACACATATGGACTCTTTAAACTGCAGCTATGTTCCTGTGGAGGAGACACAGAGGAACTCTTTAAACTGCAGCTATGTTCCTGTGGAGGAGACACAGAGGGACTCACATGCTTGTGTTACAGCATATACCGACAGTTCCAGTTGATTCACAACATTTCAACATTCTCAAAATGCAAATTAAAAAAGTTGTACCCCATTGAGCTTGGCCCTAATACTCTTCCGTACAAAAGAGCATAAACAAGCTACTTTATAAAAAAGGTAATGCTTGAAATATATCATGTTAATATTTTTTAAGAGCTTTAAAGAGACAAACTGAGACTGACCAGAGACACAGCAGGTGAGGAAGAGGAGCAGCAGAAGGATGAAGATCATATTCTCGCTGTGAAAGGAAACACATATCAAAGGTTAGAGGTCACACATTACAAAATATAGGTTGCGGTCTAATTGTCAGTTTAATTTAGGAAGGTTCCCTCGGAGTGAAATGACCCGGAAGTTCCTCAGTGGCAGCCATGATAAGTTGGCCTTTTTTCTAGATGATAGGAAAGGAGCTTTGAAACTTCCTTTATAACCTCCTTTAGCTAGGAAACACTGGACCTTCCTTTAGGAAAGGAAAGGAGAAAATGCTGTCCCACAATGCCTTGGAGCAACATGACCTATGACCATGACACAACATTCAGTTGTTCACGGAAACAACCGATCGTGACTGAGAGATTAGTATCATGTAAGTATGTGCTTATTAAACATTTGACAACTAATGCTGTAACTTGCCAACACTATAATAATCAAAAGGAAAAATATGAACGTTATCTACTTCTACAGACTGTACTTATATAGCGCTTTATCCAGTCTTTAAGACCCCACAAAGCGCTTTACATGCTACATGTCATTCACCCATTCACACCCATTCAGAGCAGTGTACCTCTGAACTAACTTTCACACACCGTTGGCAATGCCATCGGGAGCAACTCACGGTTTAGTATCTTGCAAGGATACATCGACATGTTGGCTGCATGGGCTGGGATCGAACCCACAACCTTTTGGTTATAAGATGACCACACTCCCTCGCAGCCACAGTCGCCCCACTTAAGTAGTCTAATGTGGAGTTAAAAACCGAAAACATTAGAAGCGTAGTATTTACCAGACATTTCCTGTTTTGGTTACTGGAGGAGAAGTTAGCAAGTTGTAGCTAAGAAAATTAGCAGGATCTGCGTTTTTACTCGCTTAATGTGTAACCAACTGGTGAACAGTATTTCCGTGCACATGACTTTTGTTTACAGTGTAGCGCAGTATAAGGTGGACTAATATTAGCTGTGATAGGCCAGTCCTGTTAAGTGGCCTGAGGATTTTTTTATTTGTATTGTGAACGCAACGCTGCGCAAATATGAGAGGATGATAACTACAGCTCAGTGAGTATAGAGGACTCTCTCAGGGGTGTCAAACTCAAGGCCCGGGGGCCAAATCCGGCCCTCGACTTCATTGTATGTGGCCCACAAGAGCTTGCAAAGAATATAATATGTTTATTATACGGTTACATGCCAATTTACAGAAGCAGGTTGCCCATAAACTACATGTCCCACAATGCATCTCATGTTGTGACATTCTCACTGAAGAGACTTCCAAATATTTGCCCTAGACTTCTGGTTTCAGACGTAGTTAATTATGAAGTTATTACACGTTCCCATAATAACCCAATGCAGAGGCAATAATGTAATATAATACATTATTTGATATATATGATTATAGGATCCCAGACACACTCACAACTATAGATTAACACAAAATAATAAAACAAACAAGTTCCAATGGTTTTTAATATTGGATATGGTATGTTGTTTTAGTTCAGTAAAGTTGGAACGATATTGGCAGATTCAGATTTCACGGATCAATAACTCATGAACAAAACGTTGTGCAGACACATAGTACGTCTCCTAAGTACCGTGGTAAGGTTGACAACGAACTACAATCACATTTTGATCAAAAAAAGCCAATACGTGCCGTCCTCCAAACTGGACACATTACATTGGTCTCTATCTGCAGCTGGAGAATAAATTAGTACTCATGGACCTTCTGCAAAGTGCAACTCCGAAAAAAGAGAATACAATCATATTCAATAATATTCAATAACATTACTATTATAAAGTATATTACTACCAAACTCACGACACACATCAATAGTCTCCGGGTGGTCGGACTATGGTTTGGAATAACTCTCTGCTGTAGTCCGACCACCAGGAGACTATTGATGTGTGTCGTGAGTTTGGTAGAAATATACTGTATAATAGTGACGTTTTGAATATTATTGTATTTTCTTTTTTCGGAGTTGCACTTTGCAGACGGTCCCTGTCCCTGGCCTGAGCACTTGTTTCTTCTCCAGCTGCAGATAAAGACCAATGTAATGTGTCCAGCTCGGAGGACGGCGCGTATTGGCTTTTTTTGATCAACATGTGACTGTAGTTCGTTGTCAACCTTACCACGGTACTTAGGAGACGTCATTTGTGTCTGAATAACGTTTTGTTCATGAGTTATTGATCCGTGAAATCCGAATCTCCCAATATCGCTAACTTTACTCAACTTGTTGTTTTGACCATGTTCTTACGATTGAATGATTATTGAAATGTATACAGTTCTGTTTCATATGGGTGTTTCCATATCTAGTCTGTTTCTTTTGCACTCAAAGTGCACCAGATTGATGCATTTAACTCAAATAAATAAAATCTTCCCAGGAGAGCATGTGAATGGTCTCAGACATGCCGATGTGAACACTGTTTCATCAGACGAGAGTAAACAGAGGAGCTGTTTGTGTTTTAACCGAGTTTATGAGTCAATATGTAAAGATATTGACTCATAAACTCGGTAAAAACACCACAGATCTAAAATACATGTTTATTAACTCTAAGAATTAAGATGTATTTCTGGTCTGTGGGCTGTTTGTTGTTGTTAATGTTGTTGTTTTCGACAGGAGTGTAACAGGAAGTTGTTTCAACGCGAGTGACCAGAAAGCAGCAGTTAGAGACATTTTCTTAATAAAGTAGAAAGACTTGTTCTTACCTGCAAACCTGCAGAGAGACCTCAGCTTAGTGTGCTCTGGATCTCACGTTTACACAGAACATATCATCGTTCACTTCTTCCGTTTCAAAAAGTTAAATGGTGGGCACAACTTCATCTTCTTCTTTAGTGTTTATTGGCGGTTGGCAAACCAACTTTTAGGCGCATTACCGCCACCAACTGGACTGGAGTGTGGACAAGAGACTGCAGAAAACAATAAACAAAAGAAACAAAACAAAGAACCAAAACTCTAGATTATTTTAAATTGATCAATTTCTCTTAGAAACTGGTGGGCACAACTTTCACATCCACCTCTCATAATGCATTACAGAAAGAAAAAAAACCTCACTGTACTGCCTCCTCATTGGTCCGTGGGTTTTAGTTTCACTTTCATTGTGACTGGTGGTGAAGAGGGTTGGTTCAGAAGAGGGTTACAAGAATAAACGCCTTTTTTTTTTCACTTAATACAAATAATGATAATAATACATTGTATTTATCAAGCGCTTCATCAAGTGTTTAAATACGCTTTACAGAGGTAAACAAATTAATAAGATAAGATAACAAGTATTTAAAATCGAGCAATAAAACCACGTGTATCGCAACGTCACGGCATCAATCACATGTTAAAAGCTATTCTTAAAGAGCAGTGTTTTGAAGGAGGGGGGTCAGTTTAGTCTCTGTATGTTGTGGGAGTTTATTATGTATTTGTACTCATTCAGCAGACCATGCAGATGTGGAAGAATCAATGAGAGCAGCAGCAAAAACATATGTACGTTTATTTATTTTTTTCAGAAAAAAACATGACAGGATTTCTCAAATTGAACTTAAACTTCTCACTGGAATATTTTGGAAAACCTTTTAATGTGAGACAAATGAATCAGTTCATAGGTCAGATTGCACTGAAGCAAATCTTTTAAAATGTCCCAGATAAAATAAGGGCAGATTTGTATATTTTCAAATTCTAGCGCACCTTTAATGAAAGAAAGATAAGATGTACAGTATACCTGAAGTAAAGTGTCAGAGCGCTGCAGATCTAAAGAGTCAGTATTGTGCAGGAGTGTGAAAATGTCTATAGATGAGCATTAAAGTAACAGATAGTGTCAAACTGTTTCCATTGATCCACCTGCTGAACTGTTACCTGCCCCTGAGTCTGAACCTTCTTCACTGGCTGCTTGTCGTCTGAGGTAGAAATGCACACAGCCAATCAGAGTAAGTAGAACAGAAACCAGTGCAATCTCAAAGTAGAGGCCAATCCTTCCCTGTCTTCCTGTGTTGGGAGTCTCAGGTTTGTTTCTTCCTGTGTTGGGAGTCTCAGGTTTGTTTCTTCCTGTGTTGGGAGTCTCAGGTTTGGTTGTTTTACCTTTTTTTTGGATCTCAGGTTTGTTTCTTCCTGTGTTGGGAGTCTCAGGTTTGTTTCTTCCTGTGTTGGGAGTCTCAGGTTTGTGTCTTCCTGTGTTGGGAGTCTCAGGTTTGTGTCTTCCTGTGTTGGGAGTCTCAGGTTTGTTTCTTCCTGTGTTGGGAGTCTCAGGTTTGTGTCTTCCTGTGTTGGGAGTCTCAGGTTTGTGTCTTCCTGTGTTGGGAGTCTCAGGTTTGTTTCTTCCTGTGTTGGGAGTCTCAGGTTTGTGTCTTCCTGTGTTGGGAGTCTCAGGTTTGTTCCAATGTGTCGCTGCTGTAAAAAACACCAAACAACTCTGTTTCAAAAACATTTCCCTGAAAAAGAAAACTAAAGATCTACAACATTTCTCAGGTTCTCGTACACCCTGGGAGTTTAACATTATTAAAGATGAATGGGGTTTACTCACCAGTGACGTTGAGCCAGCATCTCCTAGAGTTACTCCCATCAGGTATGACAAGTATCTCACACACATAAAACCCAGAGTCATTGGTCCTGAGTCTGGAGACATGAAGTGTGAGGCGTCCTTCTGTGAGGACGTCTTTGTCCCACTGGACTCGTCCTGCAAACTGAGGATCCTGAGACTCTGGGAGTTCATCGCCTTCAAGTAGTTCAAACAGAACTGAGGGTCGGTCCTTAGTATGAAGGAAACAGTGGGTAGAAATGAATCTGAGGGAAGTGTCTGTTCTGGTGCTGAAGGTCCACTCCAGGGGGATGTTCTGGTTCTGACGCAGAGGGACTCTTTAAACTGCAGCTATGTTCCTGTGCTGCTTTAGAGAGAACATCTTTAAAGAGACAAACTAACCAGAGACACAGGAGGTGAGGAAGAGGAGCAGCAGGATGAGGAAGATCATCTTCTCCCTGTGAGAGGACACACACATCACATGTCACACGTTACACACAGTGAACAGCGGCTGACACAAGATGGCACCAGATATCAACATTATATTTGTTATAGCTGTTAGTTTAACAAAACAAATTAAATACAGTCAGAACAAGCCTGAGAAAACACTTACATCGACTAACGTACAAAATAAACTATAGAGATAGTGTGGCGGCTATATCTCCATTGAATAAGGCCGCTCAGTATAAATAATACAAAATGTAATGATGTTAACGTTTTAAGGATATTTAATAAAGTACATCAAAACAATAAACACCTACGGTCAACCAAAGATGACAAAGGCGTGGTGTTACCAAATAATGGAGATAATAAACACAGGCTGACTCAGCATGTTGGCTCCTACACTTAGGATATACATTTAAAGGTGGGGTAGGTAATTTACTTCAGAAACACTTTTTTATATTCCATGGAATGCTCTTGTTACGTCCTCTCTAGAAGGAAATAACACACCCAGTATGGAATTAGGTATATTACAAGTGTTTATTTATATCTAATATATAGGTAGAAAATAATGAGGCAGGCAGCCTGGCACAAACAAAAGGCAAAATAGTACAAAGTAAAATGAAGCTCAACAAAAGAGCCTACAATAACATGAATAGGCTGAACAGAAAGTAATAAATCAACCCTCTCTATAAGAAGGGAACACAAATAACAAAATAAGGTTGTTTAAGAAACACAGCTGTACATGGAGCAAACAATCAACACAACGCTATACTAGTAGAAAACACTCTATATCATGTGACCCCAGTCAACACAATGCTAAGCTAACAGGAACACTCTAACAAACGAAATGTACAAGTCAACCACCGTTGACGTAAATATCGCAGCGAGAGCAGAAGTGTGAGGCGTCTGAGTAGCACGGCAGACCCAGAGCCATAATAGAAGAGTTACGACATCTCCGTTCACTCCAATGGACCACTTTTTTACAGCAATGGCGGATCGTGGAGCCTTTCAATCGTTCCCCGGAAGTTAGCGCCAAGGCTAGCAGAGCTGTAGTGTTGCAGCATAATAGACCGTTCGTGACGGACTTTTAAAGGTAAGAAGAAGTTTAAAGATTTATATTGCGGATAGTATCAGTACATCTGATTCAATTTAACATGTGTATTAAAGGATGTCGGTGGATTATCCCTAAATTAGTAGATTTAGGAAACGTTTACAGATAACAGATCAAGCTAGGATACCGAATCAAGTTAGCAACACACGTTGAACAGCCTTTTAATTGTAAATTCCGTTCTCTTAATGTCATTTCGTCCAACGTTGTTGAATTAGAGAAGAGGGGCTTCTAAACGGGATTGTATGCGGGGGTGGAGGGAGTTAAATATTAGATCAATAGCCTATAACTTTGGTGCGTGTAAGAGTGAGTGTTTTTAGCAGAGCCATAGTGTGTCCTTGTGATTATGCAACCCAGTCTCACGGCATTTCGTGTTCACCAACACGATTTTTAATCTATTGATTCGTGTTCATCAACACGATTTGCTCCTTTTTTTCGTGTTGCACAGCACGATTTTAAAAGCAATGTATTTCTACTGCCTGCAGCACGTCTTTTTCTCCGGTCGGGTCGAGGAAGACCGGAAGCTGTGTGGTTCATAAAAACATGTTCTTACTCAATATCAAGCCACAGTTATTGCTTTTATTTGAAATCGTATAATTTCGGACTTTTGTTGCCGTCTGTGAGGAAAATAAATGGGGCTCAGAGCCTGAAATCTGTATTTTTTAAATCTTTTTTTCCTTCTAATTTGTTATTCTTTTCAAAATAACACACTGTTATTTACTCACCAATAACACATAATTATCCTTGCTTTTATTTATTGGTTTAATTCCATAATCTCGGGCTTTTTTGGCGTCCGTCGGGAACTGAATTTCAAAATAATAATAATGTTATTTTGAAAAGAATATCGAATTAGAAGGAAAAAAATATTTAAAAATACAGATTTCGGTATCCTGAGGCTCTGAGCCATTTATTTTCCTCACAGACGGCAACAAAAGTCAGAAATTATACGATTTCAAATAAAAGCAATAACTGTGTCTTGATATTGAGTAAGAACATGTTTTTATGAACCACACAGCTTCCGGTCTTCCTCGACCCGACCGGATAAAAAGACGTGCTGCAGGCAGTAGAAATACATTGCTTTTAAAATCGTGCTGTGCAACACGAAAAAAAGGGGCAAATCGTGTTGGTGAACACGAATCAATAGATTAAAAATCGTGTTGGTGAACACGAATCAATAGATTAAAAATCGTGTTGCCGTGAGACTGGGTTGGATTATGTTTGTTATTACCTGTGTGTATAATGTTGCAGCTCAGCTGATTTGGGATTGATGGCAAAGGGAGAGGGACTTAAGTGAGAGTGAAAACACAAGGTACGTTTAATACTACTGTTTTATATAAGTAAGCATACTAAACATGTATTATATCACTGTATTATATAAGTAATCTTGTTAGTAACCTACTGTATGGCAGGTGGAGGGGCAGTGATGTTACAGGTGGAGGAGCAAAACTGCAAGACTGCAAAACTCACAAGACAGAGAACTCAAAGTTTGTTCTCCAGAGATGAGGTTGATTTCACTTCAATTTTTTCATATTTTCTAAAGATGTGGAAATGGCACAAAAAAAAACTTGAGAGCTGTAACCAAGACAACTGTAACAACATGAGTAGACAGCCACCAAGGTTTTTCATGTCCCTCTCTTACTCTATTTTGCCAACCCAAACTTCCAGGTGCATGACGGGACACCTTGCTTGTTTTAGTTGTTTGCGCTCCTCTGGCAGGTGGAGGGCAGTGATCCCTTCCCTTCTTCCCTCAATCTTTGAGACTCATGTAAGTAGAAGACATGTCACTGTAAATGTTCGAACATTTAAAATATTATATCAATCAATCAATCAATCAATCAATCAATCAATGTTTATTTATATAGCCCAATATCACAAATGTTACATTTGTCTCAGTGGACTTTACAGTTTGTACAAAATATGTCATACAAAGTATGACAATACGACACCCTCTGTCCTTAGACCCTCACATCGTACAAGGAAAAACTTCCGGAGAAAACCCACAGTTTAAAGGGAAAAATGGGAGAAACCTCAGGGAGAGCAACAGAGGAGGGATCCCTCTCCCAGGACGGACAGACGTGCAATAGATGCCGTGTGTAAATTGAAAAGATAATACATTTGCAACATAGGTAGTCCAAATGTTTTGAAATGCATGTGTGTATAATAGGAAGATGAATCCACGAGGATATCCATCCAGGACCTATGATCCAGGACCACAGCCACGACTCAAGATCCAGGGCTCGCGATCCAGGACAGAGGAGCGCAGGATCATCCATGACTCCGGATCCCGGCGTATATAGACACCAAAAAGAAAGACATTTGGGGAAGCTGGGTTAATCGGAACATGAGAATACACAGGTATAGACAGAGAGAAGGAAGAAGTAAGATGTCCCCCGACAAACTAAGCCTATATCAGCAAAACTAGGGGCTGGATCTAATCAGCCCTAACTATAAGCTTTATCAAAAAGGAAGGTCTTAAGCGCACTCTTAAAAACGGATAGGGTGTCTGCCGCCCGAACACAAACTGGAAGCTGATTCCACAAATGTGGAGCTTGATAAGAAAAGGCTCTGGCTCCCATTGTACTTTTAGAGACTCTAGGAACAACCAACAACCCTGCATTCTTGGAACGCAATGCCCTAGTAGGACAGTAGGGTATAATGACTTCTTTAAGGTAAGATGGCGCCTGCCCATTAAGGGCTTTGTAGGCGAGAAGAAGAATTTTAAATTCTATCCTGTGTTCTATAGGGAGCCAGTGTAAGGCAGCCAGAACAGGAGTAATGTGGTCCCTTTTCCTAACTCTGGTTAGTACACGAGCTGCAGCATTTTGAATCAGCTGAAGCGACTTGACTGACTTCTTGGTACACCCTGATAATAAAGAGTTACAATAATCCAGCCTTGAAGTAACAAATGCATGGACTAGTTTCTCTGCATCGTTTTGAGGCAAGATATGCCTGATTTTTGCAATGTTACGTAGATGGAAGTAGGCGGTCCTTGAAATTGATTTTATGTGGGCGTTAAAGGATAAATCCTGATCAAATATAACACCAAGATTCCTTACAGTCTCACTGGAGGCCAAATTAATGCCATCCATAGTTAGTATATCCTTAGATAATTTGTTTCGTAGATTCTTCGGGCCAAGTACAATAACTTCAGTTTTGGTCGTGTTTAACATCAAAAAGTTTAAGGTCATCCACGTTTTTAAGTCCTTAAGGCAGTCTTGAATTTTATTTAGATGATTAATTTCATCAGGCTTGATTGATAAATATAGTTGAGTATCATCCGCATAACAATGAAAGTTTACAGAATGATTCCTTATAATATTGCCTAACGGAAGCATATATAATGTGAACAAAATAGGTCCGAGCACTGAGCCCTGTGGCACTCCATGGCTAACTTTGGTTTGCATGGAAGATTCATCATTGACACGTACAAACTGAGAGCGTTCAGATAGATAGGACCTAAACCAGTCTAAAGCAGTTCCCTGTATGCCAACTAAGTGCTCTAGTCTTTGCAATAATATATCATGGTCGATAGTATCAAATGCAGCACTGAGATCGAGCAAAACAAGAATAGAGACACGTCCCTTGTCAGAGGCTATTAGAATGTCATTTGTGACTTTAACCAGAGCTGTCTCTGTGCTATGATGTGTTCTAAAGCCAGACTGAAAAGGTTCAAATAAATCATTGTTTTTTAAGTAATCACACAACTGTTTTGCGACCGCTTTCTCAAGAATTTTTGAGAGGAACGGAAGATTAGAAATAGGTCTATAGTTGGCTAAAACCTCTGGATCGAGGTTGTGCTTTTTAAGAAGCGGTTTTATCACTGCTACTTTGAATGATTGTGGAACATAGCCTGATAATAAAGACATATTCATAATATTTAATAAATAAGTGCTAATTAATGGAAAA